TAGATGTTACATAAGGTTGATTCAAATACTTAGACAAATTTTCAATTTTTCAAACATACAATTTTTGGTAAATTATGGCAGTTTGAACTGTCGTAACAGCACTAAAAGTCGCGATAATTTTCCACGGTCTGAAGCAGTATTTAAATTTTGAAATTTAGAAAAATGTTCTAAATTTGTTAAGTCAGATATCCGTTAAAACTGATTTAACAAGTCATGTACAATAACAACTTTTTTAACACCTCTTCATGCACCATTTCATGAAACCTTTTCATTTTAACTTGACATTTGTTCATGATATGTTTGTATAACTTCACCATGATTCATAAAGGTGTTATACTCATATAAATATATGAAATTTCAAGTTACATGTCACCTCTTCCATTGCAATTAACATTATTATATTCATTCATTTTCAAAATCAAGTGTTTTGATACTTCAACTTTTATTGAGAATTTTTCTGCTAGAGTTCTTCTTATCATTTCAAAAAAAATTCCTCTCTCATTCATAAACACTTCAATATTATATTATCTTTATAAATTGCTTATTTGGAAGCAAAGATCAATCATTTTTATTGATATATATTCATCAACTTTTTACTTAATATTTTCCAGATTTGATTGTAAATTCCTTGTTGTCCAAAATTATTGGAAACAGGAGAGTAGAAAGGAAAAAAATTATTTTCTTATTCTACTTGTTTGGTTTGTTCTTTGCTATCTATGATTATTGAAAGAAAGAGGTTGAGAGTGAGAGGATTGTTCTCATTTCAACCTTGTTGATCCAAGAGGATTGTTTTTGGTGGTGGTGTTGTTAGAATATTATAGGAAAAGTCTTGGTATAGGGCTTGTACAAAGATCTAACAATAATGAAATCTCTTTCATGTTGAAAGGAGAATGCAGTACTCTCGTACTGTGAGGGGAACCAGGATACATCCTTGTGTTCTTTACTTTTCTGCATTTATCACTTTCATCTTAAATCATAACCTGAAAAGAAAGAAACATATTTCTTAAGTCTTTCACAAAACTAGAAAAATAAGAACAACTTGTTTCTAAAAACCAAATAATTTTTAAACTCCTAATTCACCCTCCCCCTCTTAGAGGCACTCAATACTTTCAGAAGACAGGTGTCAATCTTTACTCCATTTCTAGGATCACTGCCGAGGGGGATGATCTCGAACTCCTCGTCTGGAATTGGTCACATATGATGTGCATGCTCTTCATTGCTTGCGGATGTCGATGAATTTTCTACAGCTAGTCGGGCTTCTTTCCACTTCTTCCTCTTATTCCACATATCATCCTTAGTGAAACAGATGTCAAGGTTGATCGTGTCGATGTGTGATAGCGACTTTGGCTCTTCTGAGCTGCTGGGTCGGGCACAATCATTGGCTGCTCTAGGCGCTGCTCTAATGGAGTTTAGCACCTTCAAAGATGCCTCGAAACATCTTCTTGCAGCTTCTATATCTCTGTGGAGGCTGGCAATGAGTCCTCTTGAAGTATAGTACTTCAACTTTAGATGCACAGTGGAGGGCATTGCTATTAGCTCGGCCAGATTTGGCCTTCCCAGAATACACTAGTATAGAGACGGGAAATCAATTACCAGGAACTTCACCTTGATGGATCTAGTTGTCTCTGCTGCCCCAAAGGTAACAATCAGCTCGAGGTAGCCCCACAGTTTGGTGACTGCACCGTTGAAGCCTTGTAAATATGAGCCCACGTAAGGTGTCAGATGCGTCTCATTGAGCTGCAAGGTTGTGAACAACTGGGAGTACATAATATGGACCGAGCTTCCCTGGTCGACTAAAATCCTTCGGACATCAAAATTTTCCATTTGTGCTATCATGATAAAATGGATGGTTGAGTTAGGAGATCCATCGGGGAGCTCTTCAAGGTAGAACGTGATAGGAACAGAGTTTCCTTGAAACTTATCGAGGGTGGAATTCTTGTTGGAGCTCACATCTATCAGCTATTAGAACTTCCTCTTCATCGATCCTATAGTGAATTTGTTGAACTCCCTGCTTGAGATGACCATAGCGGATGGGAAGGACTCCCAGGGACTGTGCATCGAGAAGTAGAGGGGATGCCCGACATCATCGAGGATGTAGAAATGTTCCAGTCGCGAGATGCACATGGCGACTGGCATGCTGGCGTTCTCGGGCATGGTTTCTCCTCCTCCACTTTCTTTGACTCTGGGGCTTCCTTGCAAGAGCCTTCTTTTTTTTTTGTATTGTTCGAGATGCCCATCTCTGGTGAGGATCTCGATGGCGTTCTTTAGGTAGATGCAGTTTTCACTGGTATGCTTGTGGATCTTGTGGAACCGACAATATTTTATTTTGTCAGTCCCGGGCTTGGATGGCGTTTGTTGAGGAAAATGGACCTTGGCCAAACGAAACTCCTAATTTGTGCAGTCATTCAAGACGCACTCGCGTGAGGCATTCAGGGGAGTGTAATCTTGGATTTGGACATTCAAGTGAGGCATGTCTTCGTCGATGTCTGTCTTGCAGATAGGAGATATGACAGTTTTGCCAACGAGGTGGTTGTCATCTTGATCGGTCATAACTGGAGTCTTGAAATGTTGCTTTAATCTTTAGTTTTCTGGGGAAATAAAGATGGAGAAAACAGATTTCCACAGACAACGCCACTAATTTTACCCGTGATCAGAACCTATAATGGGCCAATTTCTGTGTCTGCAAGGCTGGAATCAAGGAGGAGGGTGTACCTGCAAGGCACTCCGACACCCAAATAAGTAAGAGTGCAAAGAGATACAAGAGAGAGTTTAGGATTTTAGAAGTGAATATTGGATATTTGACCCTCACAAGTGTGAGGGTTTATATAATGCCCCTAACGCTTGGTCATTGGTCCCTATTTTTGAGCCCGGGTATCAGGCCCCCAAAAATAGGTAACTTCCAGAAGAGGAAGCTCATGCCCAACATCCTGGATGGAGATACTCGAAACTAGGCGTTATCGCAGGCGGAGATGCTCGGAACTAGCCGTTGCCACGAGCAGAGACGTGATTACGTGGAGGTATGAACTTGTCGCCTTTGGGGCCACACGACCACACGCTCAATGTTATCGGGCAGGATGGGAAAACATGCATTTCGCAGGATCAAGATGATTGGACCAATGTTTTTGGACCGTTCTGGAGCAGGAATGGATTGGGTCGTGCAGAGTTATTGACCCAGTCCAGAACAATTACCGTTAATAATCTCACGCTCGCTAATGTTAAACAATGGAATTTAATGGTTTTACGTGACATGTTTGAATGTGCAGCGGTAGAGAAAATAGTTCATGTTCCCTTGGGAGAGGATGTCACAGATGATAGGTTGGTTTTGAACACTGAGCAAAGTGGTAGTTATAGTGTGTGGTTCGGGTATAGGGTATTGTAAAATGCCCAGAAGAGAAGTTCAAATACGGTTAATATGTTTAATTGGAGTAGCTTATGGAATATTAAAGCTCCCTCCAGAGTTAAACATCAGTTGTGGATAATTTCCCAAGATTGTCTTCCTTCTCGGACGAGACTTTGTCAGTATCGTGTCCCTTGCTCGTGAGAGTGTTCTTTTTGTGACAATAATATCGAGGATGATTAACATGTCTTCTTTGAATGTCCAGAAACGAATCAATGCTAGAGGACATCAAGTTTGAATAATATTATTGATCATCGCTTGCATTCTTTACATGATGTAAAATCGATTATTCTGGATATATGCAACAGAGAGGATAGGAAAACTGCCGGTAGAGTTGCAGTTATGATGGATTTTATGTGGAAAAATAGGAATGACTTTATTTGGAATAATGAACGAGATGAGAGTTCTAAGCTTGGTTGGCTTGCATTCCATAAGTGGCAGGAATGATTTTCAGCCCAACATACCCATGAAACGAAAACGGTCACCAATATGTGTTAACTTGGACTCCGCCATCTATTAGGTGGCTCAAGTGTAATGTGGATGCGGATTTTAACAAAAATTGTGGTACATTGAACAGAGATTGGTGTGTTCGAGATACCTTTGGTAACTTTTTTATTGCAAGTGTGGCTTGGGATGTCGGTAATCTATGCACCTTCGAAGCATAAGCCTTTGTGCTCAAAGAAGCAATCCAAAATGTTATTGTTATGAATCTTGATCAAGTTATTTTCGAAAATGATTCTCTTCGAGAGATGTCAGCATTACGTACCAATATCATTGACAATTCTGAGTTTTATTCTTTTATTAAAGTTATTAAATTAGTGTTACATAATTTTCTCAATTTTGAAATTGAATTTATCAAACGTCAAATAAGTATGGTTACTCACTCGTTAGTAAAAACGACGAATTCCTAGACTAGACATAGTATTATATATTTTGTTCCTTCTTGTATTGAATTTTTGATTTATAATGAAAGAAATTGATTTTGTTCTGTTAAAAAAAATTTGCAAAACTAATTACTGTTTACGTATGTCATTCTCAATTTACAAATATAAATTTTCTTTTCAAATAAAATATCTTTTTATATGTAGTTAATTTATATCATTGTCTCAATTTTAATTCAAAATAAATTACTATAACAATCATATTTTATCAAAATAAATTCTTCACATAAAACGCAATTCACATAATCAAGTAATTCTAGCTTTGGGAAGAGAGAAATACTAAACAAACGCGTAACCAAATATTCACCAAAGTCCTTTGTGAAATGCATTGAAATCAAGGAGATAAACTGTATTGCATGACTTGTGTTAGAATTGTAAAAGGTGGCATCAAAATGTTATTATGTCGATGCTCAATCCTTCCAATTCATGAAAGGAAAAAAAAAATTATGAAGAGAATTCTATACAATGAACAAACTGTTCATATGCTTGAAACAAACAAAAAACAAAATATACAACAACGAGACTATAATTTACTTGTTGTTGCTTATAACAAACCAAAATTTTGATTGCAAGATTTGCAATATGCTGAAAACAAGCATGAGACAGTGATATAAACAACTTTAACAGAGTTATTGCACCTTCACACAAGAGAAAGAATGTTGTTACATGGACTTGTAAACATAGGAAAGCCATGGATGTTTTAGTGCCTGTCTTGCAGTTGGTCTTCTTTTCGGGTTGGTGTTAAGTAAGTATCCGACGAAGTCGATAAACATGGTATCCGTGATCCGTAGATGCTGCTCCAATGATGTCTCTTCTGGAATTATGTACTCTAGTTGATCTGTCTCCTGTGTATATATATTAATGAAGATTAGAAAGTAGGACCTACAATTTCATGAATAAAGACTGTTCCGGTCGACCTCAGGGTTTTGTCCTTTAGAAAAGACGTCTCGTTGTGGGACTATTTTCGCCAGCCCAAAACAGTTTTCCGTAGCCGAGGCTAAGGGGCAGGGTTCACGCATGTGAGCCTGGCCACAGTTGTCCGCAATCAAGGCTAAGGGACAGGTTTCAAGCATGTGAGCCCGGCCCTTCCTTCTAGGGCCAATATTTCAGCCGATCTCAAGACCGCACCACTGTTGCGGTAAAGTATTGTTTGCTTTGGGTGTGACAACCCTCACGGTTTTGTTCTTTAGAATAATTGCCCGTTAGGTTGGGGTGTACGGTGTTTTATATAAACTACTTTTAGACTCGATTTTCAAGTAATGTGGAACTATTTTAGACCAGCCTAAAACAAAAAGAAATGAAATATGATAACATTATGATAGAAAAGGAACATCTAAAGAGAAACAAACCTCATTTACAAAGTAAATGTCATATTCTTTCGTGAAGTACTTGTGTGTTTCCTGTCCTTTCACCAACATCTCCATATCAAAAGGACCAAACATTCCGATCATGCGCGCGAGAATCATCACGACTGCGTCATTTGGAAAGAGTACCTATAGCCGTAAAAAGAACTCAGAATCAATAAATGAATAAATAAAAAATAGAGTTCTTCGAAAATAAGTTATTCCTCAACTATATCATAAGAAATGTAAATTAGAACTTACTTCACCAGAGCATAGCTCAGCCAAAATACAGCCGAGCGACCAGATATCAATCTTTTCATTATATTGAAGGCCTAACATGACTTCGGGAGCTCTATAAGATCGAGATTGTACATATAGGCACAAATTGTCTGTTTTAAAGCAACTGCTTCCGAGATCAATAATCTTGATTTCACATTTTTTGTAACTTTTTATTAGAACATTTTCGGGCTTCAGGTCGCAATGAACGATTCCCAAGCTATGCAAATATTGTAAAGCCTCCAAACACTGTCGAGTAATGAGCTGTAGTCTACGTAATGTGAAATATGCTTCCCCACCAGATTCTTGGTTGAATTTCTGAAATTCATACAAGTTTGCTCGCAGAAGTTCGGTCACGATGAATAAATGCTCCTGTGTAGATTACATTCAAGATTAGTTAACTTAATGTTGAAAGTTAATACTTAAAGTTTTCTAACCTTGCATGCTACAAATATTTGGATACAGCTTGAACTAAATCAAATCAAATCGGCCGAATATGACACATACCTGATGGTAGAAATAATCATAAAGACGCAATATGTGGTGTTTATCTCCCGGGTCGTGCTTATTGACAAGTTTTAGAAGCTTGATTTCATCTAGGCTTTGATCAAAGAAATCTTTGTCGTTTTTAATAATCTTCAAACAAACATTAACTCCTGTCTGAAGATCGTGCGCTTGAACAACCCTACTGAATGCAGCTGAACCGAGATATTCTGTCACATAGTATCTTCCAGCCATGACTGTATTTAGCACAATCGGCACTTCTTTATTTTCTTCAAATCCAGTCCTATAAATGCAATAATAGATTATAGTGAATCATATTTAAAACACTTAAAAAAAGAGTGTTTAGCTATAATACCTGTTCTTTCTATGTACGATTCTTAGCTCAAATACTTCGTATTCATCCTCTTGAATGTATTTTAAGAGCTCATCATCGGTATTATTATCCTCTCCATCTGCGGCAACATCCTGGTCTCGGAAATCTTCACTCAACTCTCGATCATCTCTTACTTCATAGGGGTCGATCCCATTCGATAGATCTGTTTCAGCAACTGTGATTGTTAAGTCGTATGAATCTTTATACCTCTCACTGCTGTCGTTTTTAGTGTATGAATCGATACTTTGCTTCACGGTAACCAGCGGAGCAGAATCAAAAGAATCAATAATACCCTTCAAATGAAAATCATTCAGATCGATTTCCTTCAAATCAGAGTAGCTAAAGTTTATAGGAACTTCACAAGAATGCCCATCAGCATCGTTCTCAGCCTCGTGACAGTAATCTCTTGAATAGCTCGCATTTTCATCAACTACAGATGAATGATTACAAATGCATTGCTTCATTGGCTCGTCCACGCAACCCCCGTTTCTCTCAAATTGTATTTCTTTGTAGCCATAACGAAGATCGAGAGAATTTTCTTGATTTTCTGTAACAAACTTATCTTCAGTTTCACATCCAAAGAAATCTGGTCCATCAAAACTAGGAGTCATGAAATCATCATCATCATTTTCGTTATACCAATACGGTTCATGTTGCATATCGAATTCGTGATAATCGCGCGCTGTGCCAAATTGTGACAATCTATCCGATGAAGATTCAGAATCGTTCTGTGTCTGAGATGAGGAATTGATTCCATATGGATTGATAAATTCTGCACATACACAAAAAAAAACTAAGTTATAGAATGCTCTAACAGTACAGACCAGAATCGCGAAAATCTTTATGCAACCGTAACGCAGCCACGGCCCGTTATTTAAAACCTTAAGAATTTTCAATAAATTGAATTTATTTTTAAAAAAAAAAGCACTTCATATTTCTGACAAAGATTAAAGCACTTCATGTGCATTTAATATAACCCAAATTTTAAAACATAAACGCACACTAAAAGTTAAAAAAAATCAAATAGATTATATCAATAAAAACAAAAACTAAGAACAATTTTGAAAAACTAAAATTAGAATTTAATCAATCAATTATGCGATCCAAATAAACAAATTGCATAAACTAAAACTAGAACTTTTAAACGATCTAACTGAACATTGTTTCTAATTTCAAAACTGAACACTTTTAATTCAAGAAAATCTCAATTAACAATCACAAATCCACAATTAATAAAACAGAGCATAATGATTATTACTCTATTGATATTTGATCATTACCTGAAGAAGAAACACGAGAACTAGGTGAACCGATGCTAACAAACTGTTCATCAGAAGAGACAGAGTTCGATTTGGAGAATTTTGCTGGAAACTCCGACGACCGTGAAGTTGACCGGAGTTTGACCGGAGGAGGCGGAGGGATCATCGGAAAGAAGAATTTCTCGAAGTCAAAGGAAGCGAGATTGGTTTTTTCAATGATGTCTTGTCTGAGAGCTGATTCTGCTTCTGATAATCCATTTTTTCTTAGAAATTCTAGAACAGCTTCGACGCTAGCCATGAACACTACGAAGATGAATGTGTTTTTGTCGAGGTTTTTGTTGAGGTTGTTGTGTTGGAGTGAAGGGTAGCGAAATGTGAATTAACAGAGGTTGAGGGGGTAAAAGTGTAATTTGGCACATGGTGTGTGAATTGCATGGTTTGGTGGTAGTAAAAGGAAGGAAGAGATACACTCTCTCTTTATATATTATAATATTAAATCACATATACTAATTATTCAACAAATTTTAAAAGTGAAATTTACTTATAAACCAATAAATAAATATGTGTTTGTTTCTAAATCTTGTGTTTTGTGTGTAAAACATAAACGAATCAAAGGGTGTCTTTGTCTTACCAACTTTTGAAAAGTTAAGAGAGAGAGTTTTAGAATAAATAAAAGTTTAATTGACACCCACTTTTTCAATAGTCTTTAACACTTCGTTAATTACAGACAAATTTTAGTTAATTTCATAATTGATTCAATTGACTATTTAATCTATTCACATGTTTGATATAATTAGCATGATGTGGCGCGTGTGAAAAATGGGTATACGTGTTATTAATGCTAGGATGAATTTTACATGAAAATTATTTCAAACTATGAGGTAGATTTTTGAAAGTATTTATGGTTTTTGGTTTTGTTTTTAGTGTTGAGACAATAGTCTAATTCTAGGGTGTCAGTTCGATAAAATCAATAGTAAAAAATTAAATGTGCTTAATTTTGAGATACACGTATGTATGTACGGTGTACTGTTTTCTTTTGGTTTTGTCATATGACATCCATGAATACAATTCCTTCGATACTAATAGTAGTAATTTATAGATTAGTTCACAGAAAATATTTATAGAAAACTTGTATTGATAATTATATTTGCAAAAATACAATAAGATTATTTTTCTCACTATGAAGATTACAAGAGAACTTTTAGATATCGAATGTTTAAATAGTAGACATTTTAGATATTGAAATATTTATGTGTATAATTTCTTAATCAAGTTGTCGTGAAGAATTGGTTTTAATCTAATATTTGATTATAGATAGGAATAAGAAGATTCATTTTTGTCCATGAATAGTAGGAATAGTTTCTTGGAGAAATGACAATGATTGTTCCTTTAGAAATATGTGGTCTGACATGTATTGATGTGGTTGTCACTTAAAGGATATGGGTTTGGGTTACACGACTTATGTCCTAGGTGTGATGGATCGGATCACACGACCCATGACATGCCACATTATGCCTGCCTCATTTGGCATGTGGTCTTTTATGACATTTTTGAGTTGATTGAATTATGGCTCGCTATTTTTTAGGATCCAATTAAAGTTATCTCAATATACAATCAATCAAGCACGAGGTTTACGCATGATGAAGTAATTTCAGCTAGGTAGAAGACAATATCTTTATATTCAAGAAGTGGGGAAATGAGTCCCTTAGATAAGGCTTGGGGTGATCCCCCCAAGCAAGGTTGGGGGCGAGTCCCTCAAGTGTGCTTGGGGCGAGCTCCTCAAGGGTAATTGGGGTGATTCACTCAAGCTATGTTTAAATGACGAGTCCCTCGAGTGTTACTTGGGGGAGAGTCCCTCAAGTGAGGCTTAAAGGGGGAGTACCTCAAGTGTGGAAAGAACATGAGACGTTTAATGATGTGTTATGATGAGTTTGTCTTAGGAAGTCGCATGTATTGTGAAAAACAACCATCGTCAATTATTAACTCAAGTTCGATTCTACCATCATCAAATATCTAACATTACTAAACCACACACTCATATATATATATATATATATATATATATATATATATATATATATATATATATATATATATATATATATATATATATATATATATATATATATATATATATATATATATATATATATATATATATATATATATATATATATATATATATATATATATATATATATATATATATATATAACTTTTCCTTCTCATCTATCTTCTCTTTTTTAGGGGTGGTGATTATTTGTTGTTATACAAAAATAACAACGTCATAGAACCTTATACTCACAGGGGAGTTGTGGACATGTGGATACATTGTGTGGAGAATGTGAGGCAGTTAGATGGGATAGTTTAAACTTATAGAATTAGGAATGTTGGACGATTACTATAGCAATCTCAATTATAGTAGTTATAGGGATCTCGTTTTACTCTATCATTTCGCAAGATAGGCAAAATCACTGATGTCGACCAATTCTTTAAAATGTTTGAGATTCGAAGATTTTGATACATTTTATACAATTGAGAAAAATGCGAATTTCTTTCGTAAGAGCATAAACCTATTTGGCCCGGGCGGTGAAAAAGACATCATATTAGAACCCTGTTCTGAGGAGGACTTTGTTAACATGGTGGCCTATGCTACCTCAAAAGTCGAGTTTTTTTGCATGCATCTCTCTGATATCTATGACTTATGGGTGCTAATTCCTTTCACATTGTTTTAATATGAGGTCCTTAAGACCATTAACATTGCCCTCTCAAATATTTCCCAACAAGTAAACTTTTATAAGAGGATTTGAAATCATTTGTAGTAAGCTAAAAGTCACGTCTACAATAGACATGTTTTATTTTATGATACTAAAGCAGAGAGAAAAGGCAGTTGAATTACCCTAGCCCCCTTATCTTCCAGGGTTCTTATCAAATATGACATCCATGAATACAACTCCTTGTGTCATAAATTATACTAGTAGTTTAGTATATTAGTTCACATAAGATAAAACAATTGTATTAATAATAAATAAAATACTATTTTTATCAAACGTTTAATAAATATTCTCTCTCACTACTATTATCAAAAATTAATTATCACAAATATTAATTACTATTATAAACAAAAATCTATAAATTTTAAGCTAATTAACATTTTTATTAACTAATTAAACTTAATTAAATTTTTAAACATCATTTTTTACTTATATAAATGATATGAGGGAGAGTGTACTAACCGTGTATAACAGTTTTACACCATCGTTTAATAAAAATCAATAACTATTATTCTTGGCTGCCTGTAAAACCCAAAGGTGTGAAAGCCCAATAACCATGAAAGGCGACGATGCATAACATATGGTCTATTTCTCCCCACCAAGCAAGTAATCTCTCCTACGAGCCCTATCCAAGCCGTTCATATTGATATGACGACTTGTTGTATCTCACACATCACCACATGTGTTTGGTTATTAACCAATTTTCATATTTAAAGAGGATATCACTCAATTTCTTAGGTATTCAAATTCTTTCTTATTCAAACTTCAATTTTCATTATTAATGACTTGAGCATTGGAGTTCTAAACTTGCAGATTATCCCCTTCTCCATCACATTGAAAGCTTTGAACCAACACAACAAACTAAGAATCCAATCTTTCTGATCGAATCAAGTTCCAGTGTGGAACATTGGTATTGACTGTTGGAATTGACTTTTGATTCATGCGATTATCCACAATATAACTTCTTTTGTTTCAACCGAATCTCCTCTGATAGAAATTCATATATCCTTTGATCAAATCGAAGATCTCTATTTGTGGATCAATTCTATCAGATTCAAATTCAAACTTTCCTATATCAGATCCATCACTAATGGCAGTTTCCAAAGTTATTCACTTAGCTATCCAACAGTACATTTTTATGGCTGATGAAGCTTCTAGGAATCATCTACCTTATCCTCAAGTAGTAGACAATTAAGTCTTAATAATCTCTTTATTTGTTCCGCTGCAGCAAAATTCTTCCAAAACCAAGGGCGAATCAATCAGTGTTTCAACCTCCTTTGTTCCTCGGATCTACCCTGCAGTTTCAGCTAGGCAAACCTTAATTCAAACCTCCATTAATACTTATAATTCTTGGACGATAAATATTCTATAGCTTTCAACTCTTCCAGACTAATCTTGGCTTTCCAGTGAGCTAGCGAACCGTTGAACATCGCCTACCAAATGGTTCGTTAGCAAAACTCCCATACATTGGCATAGAGGCTGACTTGGATTAAATAAAACTTATACAATCCCAATCTGAGGAACAATAATGTACAAGATAAGGCTTCGTACAAAACTGCCATTCTTGAGTTGAGAAGGGATCCAAAAGGTATCTAGAATTCTCCAAGCCACATACGACACGTGAACCATACTCATTCCCTTGGTCCTGAAGGAATAAGGGGTAGCCACACTCCTCATGAAGTTTGTTGCCCTAAGAGAAGGGAAATATATAAATAATATGCTCTCATCCAAACGTAGAAGAAGAACCCCTTGTTTGCTCGCATCTTAGAAAGAAAAATCCCAAAGTCATTGGAGAAACTTATAAAACTCCAGAGTTACAACGAGACTGGAGATTCATATGAGTACGTCGAACATGTAGAATACTGGTTGGACTACTATCATGTCGAAGGAGTCGTGAAATAAAACTCTTTTCACCAACCCTAATTAAATCAGCAATAGCCTGGTACAAGTCATTTCTGGGAGGAAGCATAGACTCATCGACTGACTTGTGCGAGGCTTTCATCACTCATTTAAACTCCAAGAAGAGTCAATCGACCACCATGGTTATGCTTAACAGGGTCACACAGTGTATGAAGGAAATCATGAGTGGTTATATTGATTGTTTCACCAAGGAGGCAGTAGCTATTGGAGGCTCAAATGAAAGCCTAAAGTGATGGCTCTTTGAGAAGGTCCTCAGGCCGGACTACGGGTTTTAGGAAAATTTAGGGCGCTAAGAGTGTCACAATTTGAAGGATTTGTTCACTAGGGCGCAATCCTACATCAACAATGAAAAAAATTGGCCAGCAACGATAGTCGATTATTGTGGAATATGGTACCCAATTGGCCGCCAGAAAAATACTCTATGTAGTCTAAAAAGAAGTGAATGTAGACCTCTCCCAAGGTTTAACGCATATACAAACCTTGAACATTTCATGAAAGTATATCTTGAAGGAATGTGCCTACACAAAGTTTAAAGAGGTCGAGATAATGAACTCATAACCAGTTATGGAGTCTATAGGGACGGATTAGTCCAAATTCTGTCGTT